TATTGATCAAGAATGGGAAAAATGTGGCAAACTCAGCAGCAGGGACAGGCATTCCAAGTGGAAAGGAATTACTCAAAGCTTCCAGGGACAAGAATGCTTGACTCCCTTGGGGGCTACAGATACATAATGGATATGAGATGGGAAAAGGGATCAGACTGAGGCTATATTTAGCCTGAGCAGTTTTTTAAGAATTTTTTGGGGGGCATATACATTCAGTTATTTTAGTGTCCTGTTGCTATTTGGGCACAGCATCATCTCCTGATACTCTCCCTCTGCCCTTTACTGACAGTTGGTACCCAGTGATGATGCTGACGTGAAATTCACTAAGGATACCTCCAGGTTCAGAGGGGGCCACTCGCGTTTCAACTCCTGGTGCTCATCTTCCCCAGGTGACAAGTGTTTCTGACCCCTGGGGAATAGCTGTCTCTTCCTCTAATGCAAATCCTATGGATCTCTTTTTTTAGCCTTTATTGTATTCCATCAGCTCAGTTGCTCAAGTTCTGGACTTAGCTTTATTCATACCTACTCCTGTCACAAAGAAGATGTTGAATAGATAGTTTGTTGAATGAATGGACAGATGAGAATGTATAAATGCCACAACTGCCATTGAGTGGCTACAATGAACCCGGCACTGTAGTTGGTGTAGTGGATACAAACACACATTCTTGGTACTGCCCTCAATGATCTTCAAGTCTAGTGAGGTTAGATGTATGAACAGATATTGTCAACAAAATGGAGATATTGAGCTTTATTAAACAAGCAATAGGCCACCCTTTGGGTTTCTCTGCAACAAACTGCAACCTGGCTTAGTATGTCAACAAAATGAAACCTAACTTGGGAGTATATATATTTTTAGTAGCACACTTTAATTATACAGGACAATGAGCTTCATTGTGGCATATTCATAACATAGAAATAACATGTATATTATTTATCCTATCCCCCCACCCCCTTGCTTTCTCTGACCCTCTTCTTCTACCACTTCCCACCGATCCCCTTTCTCTTCCTTAGGACCATTTTTTTTTTTCAGAACAAACAGCTGGGTTACAGCCAATCACAGGTGTGAAAATGACCACACCATGCTCATATAAGGCAAATGTTCATCATTCCAAGCTCAAATAACATGAAAGTCTAGCTGCCATTAATCAGGTGATTTTTCTACTTTGCTTCTATGTTCAGCCTATAAAACCTTGCTGCTCATGTTGCTGCTGGTTGGAGCCCTCTGGACCTCTTCTGGTTTTGAGTGTTACCCAAATTTTGACTTGTTCTGTGTTCAATTTAATTTGTCTAAAGATTTCTTTAATAGCTATTATATCCAAAGTGTATAGGAACCCAGAGAAAGTAATCCGGGGACTCAAGTTGACCCAGCATGGTGTTCTTGCAAGGAGAGTTAAGAGTTATTTGGTCAAGGAGGAGAGGGGAAGATATTCTGATCAAAAGAATACTGCAAGCAACATCACAAGGCATAATATGATACTGTATGTATAAAGAAGGACAGAAACTCTGTTTTACTAGAGTGGAGAAAGGGGAGGGAAGGAGAAGAGGAGATGAGAGGTAGAGGCTGTGTTTGGATACTTCATCCAGAGTGGAGGCAGGGAAACCAGAATGGTCGAGTCCTACAGGTGTTACATTTAAGAAAGTACAGTTCAAACAGGAATTCCAAAGCTTAACACGACACTCAAACAGGAGTTCAGGTACATACTGCCAGTCGACTCTTATTAATCCTTCTTATTATTATTTCCTAGTCTTCGGCACCTCCAGAATTTCCAAGGGCCTTTTAATCTGACCCTGCCTACAATGTTCCATTCTAAACACCTTGGTTTCTTAATGCTTTTTGGCCATTCAAGTAGGTCACATTCTGTCTGTGAATGTCATCCCTTGGTTCTGTCTGGTTTTCTGTACCCACTTCAAATTTTCCCCCCTTTGGTGCTATGGATAAACTTCACGTTCTCATGCATGTCAAGTAAGTGTTCTGCTACTGAGCTACACCCCAAACCCTCACTTCAAATCTTTACACATGGATTTTTATCCTTTATCTTCTTAGCAAACAGGACCTAGTACTGTCAGAACAAGTGGGCCACTTGTTCCTGGGGGGCAACCAATAAGAAGCTATGAATTCACATACATTAATTATTTGGGGCCAGTCAAAATAAGATGATCAGAAAGAACCAGGAAAGTAGCAGTATAATGGAATAAAAGACATAGAAGTAAGAGGACTTGCAGAAATATACTGAAGGATTAACAACTAATTGTAGTTAACAACTACATGTAGGATGGAGGCACAGAGAGATGGGATTTCACAGCTGTTTTGTAGGTGAAACATAGAATAGATAATAGTAATGTGATAGTAATCTCCATGTCTGGGATATATAAGCAAAGGGACCTATCCTGAAGTTGGGAATAGACAATCATAAAGTTGACTTAGTGTCTGCTGAACTGAGGTGTCAGCAAGATACTTCCGTCATGTTTAAGAAGCACAGTGCTTCAATTTAATACACTTTGTTATCGGTCTCCAAGTTTGTGTATTGTAAAACATCTTTCAGGATCGAAAAAAACACCTTTGGGGATTGGTTATACATGGATAAATCCTATAGGAAATAAACCCATTTGACTTAACTTTGTTTCTGGCCCCCCTCCCCTGTTTTAGAATACCAATTAATATCCTGTGGAATGTTTTCTCTAGAGACAACGTTCTAAGAAATGCTCATTATAACATTTAGGAAGTGGTAATCAGGAGATGATTAAGGTAGAAAGAACTTGGTGGGGGTGGGGGTGGTTGTTTGTTTACGTGGAAGTGAGAGCTGAAGAATTATGAACTGATGAATCACCAAGAGTGAATAGAAAGTGAAAAGAAGTTTGGAGATAGAACTTTTAGAAAACTCTGTTTGACACCAAAAATGGCATGTAGAGAATATTACTTGAAGAGTTGTGATCACAAAATCATGGGTTTCATAGTGTGACAAGCAATCTAATATTTCTTTCTTTTCTTTTTTGGGTACTGGGGACTGAAACTAGAGGCACTTAACCACTGAGCAACATCCACAGTCCTTTTTTTTATATTTTATCTTGAGTCAGGGTCTCACTAAATTGTTTGGGGCCTTGCTAAATTGCTGAGGCTGGCTTTGAACTTGCCATCCTCCTTCCTCAGCCTCTTGAGCCACTGGGATTACAGGTGTGCACCACCGTGTCTGGCTTAATCTAACACTTTTAAGATCTGTTTTTTTTTTATCTGAAGAATAATGCTCACCTTGTTGAGTTGTAGTGAGATTTTAAAATAGATAATATAGGAAACATTTCCGTAATAGAGGAAGATACTGTCTACTTTTAATAATACTATTAATATGGTTTTCATTTAAATTTTTCTTGATGAATTTAAGCAAAACCTTAATGAATACACTGCTATATTGAAGCCTGGAAGTTGGACAGTTATATATGCAAAATCTCAATACACCATACAAGGAAGCAATCCCAGTTCAGACAAGCCTTGGACAGCAGCTACATGACAGAGAAAGAAATCCATAGAAACCAGGTGATTAGAGGAAGATACCACAGGAATTCCCCCAAGGCACCAGTGACAACATTTTTTTTTCCTGTTTTTCATGATTGCTGGAAGATAATATCAGAACCTTAGTGAATATATCTGCTCTCCTCTAAAATTTCTGGGCTCAAACCTCCATGCCTATGGCTATAGGTAACATTCTGTCAGCTGGGGATTTCCTCTGACAATAGTCATTACCAGGCACTCTCAGGGGTCGGCCAAGGGAGAGGCATTTGCAACAGAATTTTGGACTAATGAGGCATACTTCTGTTAGAATATGTCACCATGCCACAGATGCAGGCATGAGTCATTTTTCGTATTGGTCAAATGAGCGTACGGGCCACAGATGATTCTGAATTTAGAGTTAAGTTTCTGCTAACTGCCACAGCAAATCAGCCTTTCTTTTCTCCAGTACAAAAATGGGAAAATTATTGAGATTTTCCCCAGGTCAGTTCATTTCAAACCGTATAGGATACGCCATCAGAATTTGTTATTTTGCAGTCTTTTCTGCATGTTTTCTGGATTGCAGCCTCTTAGGTGTTAGGTGCGAATAACTTAGTGGTCTTAAGATTGCCCATTTAACATGGCTGGCCATTTAATCAAAAGGTCACCCACAGTGGCCAAGATAGTTGGAGGATATGAATAATAGGATGGCAAGCAAGTCTTTGAAGACATTCTTAAGACACTAGGTTGGGTGACTGGCCTGTGAGCATGAGAATACAGGGGATGTTCACTAGTTGTCCTCTTAGCAAATATAGGCTGAAGTATAAATAAAATTTGCCCTAGAAATTCATGAGGTCTCACTCAGGAGAGCATTTGCAGGAGAAAAAGGACATTTCTGTGCTCTGATTGGTTTATGGAGTCATTTGCCTCAAACTCGCAAGACTGGGACAGAAGGAGTATTATGGATGACATGCTGCTCAAAGTGTGATCCAAAGACTGGAAGCATCAGCGTCCCTTGAATCTGGAATCATGTACATGTGCAAATCCTCATGCCCTACCCTGGGTATCCAGGAAACAGAATCTGTGGGCAACTTGCTGTAAGAATATTTCTGGGTAAATTTTACATACATGAAAGCTTCAAAAACATTGCCCTAGACTCATTTAAATTCAATGTGTCAATAATTGCCATAATATTTCCTTCCATCTGCTCACTAATCTAGACTGGGCATCCATTTTTACCATTAGTTTCCAGTTGTCTTATTCCTCAGAGGCCATCAGGATAGACTTGATTAAACCATCTGACTACATCCAAGAGCTCAGTTTGTCATTTTTATCATCGACAAAAATGAGAACTTTATTTATGGAGGGCAGCTCTGTAGAGGCAGTGTAAGTATTGATTTTTAGTCTTATGATTGGTTTGCAGTGGGCAAACCTTATTTATAGCTTCTGGCAAATTTCTGTCATTTTCAGGATGACAGTAATATAAGTAAAGGGATGGAAAAAGGAGAAAAACACTTACATAGGCTATGAGTTGCTCCTCGGAAGCTTTTAATTCAGCTTGCAGGTTCTCAATGCACTGAAAGGGAGAAAAGGTTAGAAACCAATATAAATATTCAAAGCATTCCAGAAATAAATATGTACTAGTTCTCAAGTCTTGTGAGTAATAGTGGTGGCACTATTATCTTAGCTAGATGTTTTAGATCATCCCTTCCACCCCTGCACCTGTTCTGTTCATTCTATGGAAGAGCCTGATGTCAAAACACACAAAAATGTTAAGAACTAGGAAAAGGTTGGGAGAAATATTAGCTTACTGTGCTAATATTAATGCCAATACTTATATTATAACACACACATATACACCTTTACATTAAAAAAGTCCATATATTTCAAAAGCAGACACAAATCCTTTGGGTTAAACAAGATGCAAATGATATAATGATAAATATATAAAGGTCCAGAGATTAGTCATTTCTTATAGTATAACTGATTAAAAACATATGCCAAATTTTATGATGCACTTGTTTTGGTACACAGAAACTATTTCTTGCTTAGGTTCAATATCAAAAAACAAAAAACAACAACAACAACAAAACCTAAGAAACAATTATACAGCTAATACCATTTACGAAATAAATATAATTCAGCTAACATCTTCAAAGAATACAAACCAAACAAACTTTAAAATGGAGCTAACTAAATTAATTTTTATGCCAGTATTCACCAGGGAATAAAATTACTTTTATCAAATACAAAAGTTGTTATTTATCATCATGATTTTAAATATGAACTGTCAACTGCTAGAAATGCTTTGCAGAATTGTACAAGATTAGGTAACTTTTGAAATAAAGATGATTTTTCCTCCACAACATACCTGGTCTTTCAAAAGAAGCATCTTCTCATGCTGTCCCCAAATGGCTTCCTTATGGTCCAGAGCCTTTAGTTTTTCCTCCAGCCAAGTAATTTGTTCGAGAAGTTTTGATTTTGTTCCTTCAGAGACTGCAAGCTGAAGATATTTTCTTATAAGAGTATGTAAGCACAATGATATTTTAAAAACTCCCTTTAGAGATAAACTTATAAATGAACTGCCTTTCTAACTATTACATATGAAAACACCTTCTAGAACATTCCTCATAGATGACAAATGATTTGAGAATGAAGGAAAATAATGTTTTAATTTATTTATAATGAGTAAGATCTTTCTAGGTAAAAGATGAGACCACATTGTTAGGATGAGCAGAGAAATTTCCAGTGCAGGGATCTCAACACTCACCATTGTGTCTTGAGGTTGTACTTATTCAGCTGAATCTGAAACCTGTATTGTGGTTTACATGTGGTTCTAGAAACTTAACTCTTGAAGGAGAACAGCCTTCTAGAAGGCATGGGAGGTCTTATTCCCTTGAACATTCACCATAGAGGCAGCAGGGTGGTTGGAGCTAAAGGGAAATGCTAGAATTTCAACTTTAAGTTTGATCAAAATCAGATCTATGCAAACCAAACCCAAAAAATTCCTACTTATGTCTTTGTCTTTGTTTTACTGTTTGTAGATTCCTCCTGAAGAAAGGATAGTTTGATGGTCCCTCCTCCCTCAATTTCCTTGGAGATCCTCCTTACTAGACTTTCCTTTTTTTCCCCAATAGCTGATTGTGCTTTCCTCTACCTTTGGCAACTCTTCTGAAAGTCCCTGGAAAGAGACACTCAATTTTGTAATCACTGCAATCCAGCATGCATCCTCTGCACACAGAGGATCTGTCCGTGTCTCTTTTGCACTACTCTGAATGCCATTACAAACCAGAATTTTTCATCTTGAAAGCCTAGCAAGTTTTTAAAAGACAGTTTACCAAATGAAGAGGTCAGTTTGTCATGGAAACAGGTGAGCACATCATACATATTGTAATCTGTGGCTCCAGCTATACAATCATTCATTTAACAAGTGTTTCTTCTGTCGGCACTCTCTACCACCATTGTTATGTGCTGGGAATTATGAAAGGACAATCTGAGGTCCAGAAGAAACTCATGTGCTGTAAAATCCTATTATGCCTTTTGGCTCTCAGTGATCTGGGAGACCTGCTGTGGTCCTCATAGTTACTGGCATGGTTGGCTCTGGGGTGCATGGTGGTTCAGGCATGTAGTCTGGCTTCTCTGAGCACCCTTCTATTTTATTAGAGATGCAGAGTAGTGTAATGTTTAAACATACAGACTCTTGAGTCAGACTCTTTGAATATAAATCTCAGTTTTGCTAATAGCTATGGCATATGGGCAAGTTGCTAAGACTCTCTGGGCTTGATTTTCTTACGTATAAATGCATTGGGGATGAAAAGAATGTTTCTTAACCCATGAGTTGTTTTTGAGGATTAAATTAGTTTATAAAAGAAGAAACATTCAGGACAATGCCTGGAACATATTGAGTACTTAGTGGTTATTTTAATTATTCTTCTTCCTTCTCAAATCACAGTGAGCATTCATATGAGTTTCATTTAAATATTATTTATCAAATTGCATCATAGCCTCCATAAACTGAGTAAACTGGGCACCTTCAACTCAAACTGCATTTGGTTTGCATACTTGCTACCACCTCTAGTCTTCAGAGAATACCTCCTTGTCTAGAAATACTTTCTTTCAAATATATTCTCTCATTCAGGCCCTTTTCTTCCCCCATGTCCTGTTTGACTTGTACTCCATCCAGTCTCTACAATGTTGTCTTTCTTTAAATCTACTGTCTCTTGTTTTCAAGTCTTTATTAATTCACTTGAGATATTTTATTCATTTGTTAAAGAACTAATTTGGAAATTTATAATAAGTAAGAATTTAAAGATAAAAAATGAAAATATTCATATCTTAAAAAAATTTAGGTAGAAGGCAAGACACTTTAAAAGTAACTATTATACAATATGAAACTGTATGGATAAAGAACAATATTAATGACTATTAACATTTGGGAGTATGTACTATGTACCAGACCCTCTGTGAGCCTTTCTCGTCCTCTTTGCTGATGATTGGCTCAAAAAATCAGGCCTGAGCTAATCTGAGTCTGGCTTTCCTCTGGCAACAATTATTCTATAAGGAAAGTGACCTAATTTGGATTACTCATAGTGGACAGGAGGAATTTTAATGAGTTGGAGAAACATTCTTTTTCACCCACCAGATGTGAATGCTATTGTAGCCATCCTATAAACACTGGGGAAAACAGGCATTTGATGAAGTCACACTCAGACAGGAAGAGTGAACTGGAGAAACCCTGGGTTCCTGAGAGCATTCTTGAAGTGCTTTATCCACTGACCTTGAAGTACACCCTGACTTGTGACTAGCATATATGAGCCAAGTTTCCTACTACTTGTTGCTGTAAGGATTCTACTGATTCATTGTCTGATTCCAAAATTCTATGCGTTTGACCACAAGTGAGGAAAGTGCATGAAAAACAACTGCAACTCACCTATTTGGTAGCTATGCCGTATCAGGCATCCTGCTAGGTGACAAATGTTACCTTATTTCATTGCTCAAAACCCTGTATGTAGACTTGGTTATATTTTTGTTATTGCAATTTTAAAGATTGAAGGTGGATTTTAAAGATTCAGGGGTAAATTAATTAGCGTAAGACCCTGTAGCTAGTCATGAGTTTGATTTGGACCTACATTGGTCTGCCCTCAATTGCTGGGTTCCATATCATATTCACACCCTAACTCTGAGGCTACCTGCCAAAATGAGGCCTGTGATGTTTTGGACCTTATTTAAGTGGACTTCAGCATGTTGACTTATCCATTTGAAGGAATTTATTTTCTTTTCTAAGACTGAGAGCTCTCTGCTTTGCCATCTTGCTTCCTATTTTTGTTGTTGTTGGTGGGGGGTGGGTACCAGGGTTTGATCTCAGGGACACATACCACTGAGCATATCCCCAGCCATTGTTTTTTTTTATTTCTTGAAACAGAATCTCACTGAGTTGCTTAGAGCCTCGCTAAGTTTTGAGACTGGCTTTGAACTCGTGATCCTCCTGCCTCAGCCTCCTGATCTTCTGGGATTATAGGCATGCACCATCATGCCTGGCCTTGCTTCTTTTTTTATATAGACACCAACTTCATCTCTTTCCTTTCTTCTTAGAACAGTTTCTAACTGAATGTCCCTTTGACTCAGAAAAGTTTAAATCAGATTCAAATTAACTATAAGAAAACTTGACTAGGAGTCAGGAGACCTATATTTTAGTTTTACCCCTATGATTCACTGACTCTATACCCTTGGTACCCATTTTGGACTTTACTGTGCTACCTTTATATATTGTTATAGGGTAATACTCTAGTTTCACACATTGAAACTAGATTCTAAATTCCCAAGAAGAATAAATACAGAATTCTGTCAAAAATTACAATAAGACAATCAAATTGTCCAGGAGCAAACTTTGCTATGATTTTTCCATTTATTAACTTTTTGAACTCTGATTCTTAATTCTCATATGTATCATCACTTCACAAAAGCAAGACAAAGGGATTTGATTGCTCCTTCCTCATGTAGACATGTTGTGGCAAGGACTGGTGATTTACTGTTGGATTCCACTATACAATTGTAAAACTGTTTATTACTACAGGACAATTAGTATTTCCCAGACCCTTTGCAAATGACCCATTCAAAAGAAAAAAATGGCTGGATAGTCCAAAAAGAAGAAAGAGAAAGAAATGAGTTAAAATAAAAGTAATATTATAAATAAAATTATATTTCTGAGATTTATTTTTTTTAATTTAAGCACTACATAAAAGATTATGCTCTACTGTTAAATTATAAGATGTTAGCTGCCATCTTGAATTCACTATAGTATCTTGATGGGTCTTTTAGAGCCCTTCGAAATCTAATTCTCAATTCAGGAAACACTTAGGAATTCTGCCTAAATTCACATTCAATTATGGGATAGGATGCAAGGCATCAAAGTAAGAGGAAATCCAAGTTAATAGCTGGAAGATATGACAGTTGAATTTTTTTAATTTGTTCTAATTAGTTATACATGGCAGTGGAATTCATTCCACTCATTTTACATAAATGGAGCACAGCTTTTCATTTCTCTGGTTGTACACAATGCGGTACACACTATTTATGCAATCATACACATACATAAGGTAATAATGTTGTCTTAGTCCACCATCTTTCCTACTCCCATACCTCTTCCCCTCCCCTCACTCCCCTCTGCCCAATCCAAAGTTCTTCCATTCTTCCCTTGTCTTACCTCCCCCCATTATGAATCAGCATCCACTTATCAGAGAAAACATTGGGCCTTTGTCTTTTGGGGATTGGCTTATTTCATTTAGCATGAGGAAGATTTGGGCTTACTTTTTCTTCTCTTAGGTGCAGGGTCTCTGGTATAATTTCTAGGTCATTGATCCACTTTGGGTTGAGTTTTATGCAGGGAAGAAACGGATTTAATTTCATTTTACTGCATATGGATTTCCAGTTTTCCCAGCACCATTTGTTGATTAGGCTATCTTTTCTCCAATGTATGTTTTTGGTGCCTTTATCTAGTGCTGGGAGCCATTAGCCAAGTAGGTATGACAATTTCCTTGCCAGCGTACCCCATGTTGCTTAGTGGAAGGACTCGTGGAAATAGGACATTTTGCAGTGACATTGCATCTAAGGTGACCTTGCTCAAGGACCAGGGCGGATCCAGGTTTAGGGTGTTCCCGGTTTAGGATAATCGGGTTTAGGGCGTTCCAGGTTTAAGGTTATTCCTGCTGGGAATAGGGCGTATCCTGCTGCCTGAGTTCCCCTTGAGTTCTCACGGGATTCAGACAGTATTTTTTGGGAGACAGAAGCCCAGTGGGGGTGGATTTGGGCAGAGAACGTGGATTTCCCCTGAACGTGATTATAGACGGCTGGTGTGAGTTTGGGAATAAAGAGTTGCTGTTTGAATCTACAAGCTGTGTGGTGGCTCGTGATTTTGTGCCCAGCCAGACTGCGGCAATCTAGTATGAGATAACTGTATTTATGTGGGTTTGTCTCTGTGTCCTCTATTCTGTACCATATGTCTAC